TTGCCGAAGGACGAGTGTGACTTCCTGTGCCCGAGCATGTCGACTGCAGTCTCGTACTCCTCCAGGTCGATCCCAATGCTCGTATCCACGGGGGAGTCGTGGTACGCGTGATGCATAAGGTCCGCTGAGAATGCACTCGGCCCGTCAGGGAAGAGGGTCATGTGTGGGAACGGTTGCTTGTTCCGCTTATCCATATGTTTGATCTGCTCCTTGATGGAGAGCATCACCCTGCGCTTGCTCTCAGCTGAGAGTTGCGCCATCTCCGAGCGCATGGCCGTCATGAGGACGATCGCACCAGCCCTTTTTATGGTCTCCTCGTTCGGGCAAGAAATACCAATGCGAAACATCCGCACCGCGACACACTGGGACTTCACACCGACGGCCAGCTCGGGGTTGTTCAAGATCCGCCAGTCGTTCTCACTGAGGAAATTGATGAGTTTGGGGCACGCCTGTTGGGCCCGTGGCCCCGTGGCGTCACGGGGCTGCGTCGACGATGCTTCGCTGAGCGCAGTGGCGAGTGTCATCTTCTGCATGTCCGTCCAGGGCCCAGCAGTGGTAAGGTTGGTCAGCGAAGTCGCATCGGCCAACGTCAGGCCATGGGTCTGGCGGATCGTGGTTGTCAAGGCTGACACTTGAGCGGTCAGCACGGAATCCCTCGGTAACCCCGCGGCTGATTGTGCTTCCACGAACTGAGTGCGAGCATGGATGGCAGCAGTCAGGGTGTCAAGTGGGCTCGCAGCCATTGGCGGGTTGAGCAAAGACTGAATGCTGACAAAGTGGTGCGATTCACAACGTGACTTGGCACAAATAGCTGCGGTTGCAAGCAAGACTGACGCCGAATTGTCGGTCGATATCGAAGCTGACACATGTAAAATCCTCCTCATCCGTCTCATCCTCGGTCCTCACCGCCAGCCTTCTCCACCCACATCGTCGTCCTACTCTTACTCATCCTCTCCCCCCCGTCCTCTTTCCTGTTGGCCCTCCGTCCTCATCGCCGCTCGCTCACGCCTTACATTCCCTCCGTTTCGCCACATCCTCACCCCCTCGTCTCTCTCAACTTCCTCCCCATGCTCATCTCTCCTGCCTCGGGAGTTGCGCTAAGTCGGGGATGGGCAGGCAGACGAACGCCACAGAGCCTCTCGCGCCAAAAGTTACCGAGTCTCTGCTCAGGGGTTGGGCACTTTTGCCAAATCCGAGGGTATAGATTGACCGAGTCCCTGCTCAGGGACTCGGTCAATTTCTCTCTCGATGTTCTAAAAAGAAGAACAAAAATCAAACAAAAAAAAAAAAAAAAAAAAAAAAAAAAAAAAAAAAAAAAAGAAAAAAAAAAAAAAAAAAAAAAAAAAAAAACAAAAAAAAAAAAAAAAAACAAAAAAAAATAAAAAAAAAAAAAAAAAAAACAAAAAAAAAAAAATAAAAAAAAAAAAAAAAAAAAAAAAAAAAATAAAAAAAAAAAAAAATAAAAACAAAAAAAAAAAAGAAAAAAAAAAACAAAAAAAAAAAAACAAGCATTTTACCGAACCCTGGCCATGGACACGGTCATCCTTACTGGGTGAGTAGGGGCAAAAGCTACAGGGAGATTTGGCAAAAATAAAGTAAAAAAACTCCTTAACAAAAAAAAAAAAAAGATAGGCAGATACACTCGGTAACTTTGGCTCTCACACGCCATGCGCCCGCTTGAGCTGTGCGCTCCAGCCCGCGGGCCTCAACGTCGAAGCGAGTTCAACCTGATGCTACCCGTGTGGCGGTGGTGGTGTCTACGACTATGTCAGTTTCCGCCAGCTCTCTCTCTCTCTCTCTCTCTCTGCATATGGAAGGGTGCGAGGCAAACGAGGAGAAGGATATTGATGAGGAAGATGTGGTAACGTAAGGGAATGTAGTACATTTGTCACGAGCCGCATTGACGACGTGGAGCATCGGGTTAAACAACAAGCGGGCCTCCGAGAGGTCACCCCCCTCGCTCCCACGGATTTCGGGGTACCGATTTAAGTGTTTTTTTCGTATCTTGAACTCCTCTTCTGCTCATCGTTTGCGTTTCCCTGTCAATGCACCTATTTGTTGTTGTTCGTCATTATTGTTTCCCGCTGCCTATCTCACACAACCTCCTCGGTGATGGTGATGTCTGCTTGATATCTGGTCTATCGGATGTGCTCTGAAATGTCATGCCAAATTGGTGCGATGTGGCTGTGTGGCAAGCACGTGTGCACCTACGTGCTATGGAAACACGGCACGTCCTGCATCCACCAGGATGCTGTGGAAACTCCCCAAAGCCTGTGTATACTAGAAACCACGGTCGCTATACATGCACTGGATGACATCACGAAGCGACGGCAAAGCAGCGTTGCATATCATTGCTCAGGGCGCTCATCCTCCTCTGGATCAGAGTGGTGCTGCAGGTACCACTCCTCCAAGACCCTCGCGATCCTGTCGCACCGCTCTTGGAGCGATCCGCCAGGTTTGACCCTCATGGACTTCGTGTGCCAGGTCTCCGTATCCCTCGAGAAGAAACGCGTGGACAATGCGTTTTTCGACCTCGACCATTTCACGTGCGGCAGACTCACATTGGGATCAACTGCGTCCTGCTGCTCAGAGTTCGGGACGTACGGCTGCGTACGGAGCAAGGCCAGCGCCTCAGGGGTCATCTCGATGCTCAGCTTGGCACGCGTGATGGCATTCGTCATGACGAGCACTTGTTCAGTCCGATCGGCAGCCGTCTCCACGGTAAGGGTCACGGTCTGAGCAATCTCGTCGTGCATCTCTTTCCTGGGGCGCTTAGGCAAACGGGTGACAAGCTCAATGTCAGGGTCACCCAAGGCAGCAAGTTGCTCATTTGCCTTCCAGATCATCAACTTGTCTGTAGCAGCATTCCGCTTCTGAACGAGATGATCGAGCATGGTGGTGTTGTGCTCCAAGTAGTTGAGAACACCCGTATCCGTGCGATCGATGCTCACGAACGTGCGACCATCCACGTCGAAGGGCTCCGCGAGCCAAGCTGTCCGAATGGGCGCTTCGGGATCAGCGGTGATCGCCACAATGCCTTGCCTGATGGACGCCATGCTAGCGTCGTACAAGCGATGTGTACCAGGAAACGAATTCAATCTGCTTGAGCCCAAATGGCTACGGATCAAGGCGATGCTGATGGGGATGTATTGAGTGGAACGGGGTTTCGGACCCCATCCGAGGCTTATGGGCCCCCCAACATACCAAAACGGTGAAGGTGCAAACACTGTCGATGCGCGTGTTCTCGCTCCCGCCTCCCCCTCCTCCTCCTCATCCTCCTCCGCGTGCTCCCCATCGTCGGTTTCTTCCCTTTGATCGTTCATCATGTTCTTGCTCGGTCTGTTCCTCCTGATCCTCCCCCGCATCCTGTTCCCCCGTCCCTCCACCCCTGTGCAACATTAGTTGCGCCACATGAGCGGGCTCCGAGGTGCCGCGCAGAAAGACATCTCTGCCCCCCCCTCTCGATGAAGGTAGCGAACGGGGGGGGGGCATTGTGGCGGATTAAAGGGGAGCGGAGGAGTAGGATGCCGAGGAGAAGGACGAGGAGGATAAGGAGAGGGAGAGAGATGAGGAGGGGGAGGAGGAGGATGAGGAGGAGGAGGCGGAGGGGGAGGAGGATGAGGAGGAGGAGGAGGAGGAGGAATGATGGTATACACCGATGGGACGCCGAGGAGGACCAGGAAGACACCTTAGATTTGCAACACCAGCGCTGCTACTCACAGCTGTATGTAGGCCAGCACCTATCCGCATATGCTAGCACGCATTGAAAGCTTGCCCGTGGCTGCCAATCCCCTGCTCGAAACGTGTGTGTTTGCAATGTTGGTGCGTGTTTCCTTCCACTTACTCGGCAGGACGGAAAGGCCATCGATGAAATCGCGTGGTGGGCAAACCCCCTCACCTCACGCAACGATGTGCCACGCCCCCGCGAACGAACACTGAAGCGCAGTGTTGTGGGGATTGGCGCAAAATGCAACCTACTTCCTGGCCTTTTTCTTGGGCACGCTGGCACTCTGGCTGGACTCAGCCCGTTTCGCGTCGGCCACTTCTGATTTGTACAACGGGGTGCCGACGTGCAAAACCTTAGAGTTAACGAGAGCTGGGACGTGCCAGGTGAAATCAGAAGCGTCGAGAGCTGACTTCTCGGTCCAGCTACTGACATCGCAACGGAAAGCAACCCTGGTGCGAACCATATTCGCCAGCGTGGAGTCCAGGGCGGTTCCAACAAGCCAGAATGGCACAGTGAACGCACCTGGAGCTCCAGACGTGTCGATCTTCGGGCAAATGTACACACTAAGCTCATGGTCCCTTTCGTCTCTCAATGGGGATGTAATGGCGACCCCACCAGCAGGAATTTTACCACCAGAGTGAATGTACGGGCTCAATGGAATGAGAACCAATTCTCCCTTCTGGTAGGTTTTCTTTGCTACGACTTTGTCAACGACACGCTTCCCTTTCTCATTGCTCTTGAAAACGATCTCAAGATTGACATTCACTGAACAAGTATCATGCAACTGAAACAACGCAAACCTCATGGCGGCCTTGAAGTTCTCATGGTGCATGTCCCTGTGCTCCTGAGCGCACGGGAGAGACGGCAATGTGTGCACATCACATGGGATGGTCAATTGGAGGGGCGACGGATGGAGAGGAGGAGGGATGAGGAGGAAGAGGAGGATGAGACGGGCACGGAGGATGAGAAAGAGGGTTCTCTTACGCTTCATCATCATAATTCCCCTCATCCCCCATCCTACCCCCTCGTTGTCCTCCTCCCGCCGTTATCATCCTTACTATTCCTATCATCACCTGCTTCTTCATCATCCACCACCCCGTCGTCTTCGTTTGGTCCTCATCCTCCTTCTCTAGGGCTGCATTCGTTATCCTTACCGTGGTTGCTGGCTCAACCTCAAAAAAAAGTCGCCCTCCACACTCATCCCTCACATCCGCTGCTGCGTCAAGCTATCCTATATACGATTCCCGAGCTCCTTAAGCATGAGGCCTCTCACGCTCACAGTCACGAACTCGTCCTGCTTCTTCACCTGGGGGCGCCCGAGAGGAGGCGAAGGGCTGCTACGTGTGCGGTACTGTTGTTACTTGTTTTTGTTACGATCAGTTACTCACCAACTTTTGTTAATGGATTTGAAGTTAGGCCAGCTGACCGTGTAGTCGTCAGCCAGTTGGTGCAGCGAGATCTGGATGGGCTTCGCCTTCTTGCCCCCGCCGGCCCTCAACGTGGCCGTGTCCTCGGTCATCTCGCTGATGGTGTACAGCTGGCCGTTATTCTCTCCAACGTTCGAGGCCACCTGCACGCCGACCTTGAAGCCCATGCTGTTGATGAAGCTGGTGTCGATCGAGCCGTCTCCCAAGTTCCGGAGACCACTGCAATTCTGAGGGTCGGCCCCAGCAGTTGCCTCCATCGTCACATGGGTTGCAGGCCAGGGTGCTTCGACCGATTTAGCATTCGGATGCTCACGGTAGACATCCATCAAGAACTGCGCCCCAATCTCTTCAATGGATCCCCACGATTTAGAACCCTTCACAGATTTCTTGTGCACGAACATGACGCACCGCATCTCGAACTTTCCTAGGAGTCTGGATTTGACTGGCTTGGGCATGTCAAGCAGAGAGAAAAACTTCTTCGCGGCCCTGATCATCTTGACAACCTCCAGGCTCTAGACGGTCCCATCTCTATCTTGATACACCGCCCCCCAACCACCAGCAACCCAGCACAGCTGTTATACAGCTCAGGTCCTGCTGATTCACGTCCCCAGCCCAATGGGGATGGGGAGGAGAAGCAACATCAAGTGTTGGGGCACCGATGGTCGGACCAGGCAGGATGTTAAGTGATGGAACCGCCTCGCGCTCAAGTACCTGGATAGCTTTGGTCTTATTGGAAGCAGTGATCGAGTTAAGCTCGGTGCCAGTCAGTAGCCTCGCCACTCCATCGCGAATAAAATTTGATGGAGCACATAATTGGGCTTTGATTATCGCATACAAATACTCTGGGCCCTGCAAGAACGATACAGAAGACAACAGTCGGAAGAATGACCCATGGATATCGTTATAGTTCGGAAGCGTCTGGCAAAACTGTTGCAAATCATTCAGAAACACTGGGTCGGATCCACCAGAATACTTTTGTATAAACAGCGACATGTCACTGACCTGTCCCTCAAGATGGGGATTGTCCCGTTCAATTGAAACAGATATAGCCTTCCAGTCCACGTTAGGCATCCCATCGTCAGTTGCTTTCTTCGCTCGCTTGTGTATCTGCACCAAGGTTTCGATCTTCGACTGCGGCTTCGCGGCGTCCTTGCTGGTGTTACTGGCACGGGCAAGGAAGTCGGGAAGATCTGGGATACGCTCTTCCACCTGCCACCGAATAATGGTAAATTGTACTCCATGTTCAAGAGGGCGCTTGTACGCTGGTGACTTTGTCAATATCTTGTCCACAGCAAGGCGGCCATTCGTAGTGAGCTCCTCATTGTCGCTCTTGGCCGCTGCCTTCACGCATCGGGCTCCTGCGACGGTGTGAGAACTTGCAACTGTCAGAATCCGTAGGTCCTCGTGCGCCATCGCTGCCAGATAACCGTCCGATGTGTTGTACAGAAAATCTTGAAATTCACACTGAACCTTCCGAATGTCTGGGTTCTCAGACTTTTCGAAGGCCCTGGCACCAGCGACTTCTATATCACTCCATCCGTGAGTGGTAATATCCTTCAAAACCGACTGCACTGTTTGGATATCCAGTCCCAGACCGTGTCGGTTCTTCGGGTGAACTCCAATGTGCTTCACAGCAAGTGTTTCAACATACGCTAGCCCAGCATCCAATAACCATGTGACGATCGAATCACCTGATGCTTTCATTTGTTTTGGCTGGTTATTGTTCATGTCGTCATACTTGGCCAACTCTGCCAAGACTCGCGGTGCCAGCTCGTGGAGTTTCTCTGACACTGTACTACCAGATGCCATCGAATCGGAGAAACTCATGTTCAGACCGAATATTCTCAGTACTCAACCAGGAAGGGTTGGAAAACTGCCTCAAAAAAAAAGCTAAAATGGCAACGGTGCTGATCAACAACAGGCGTTCGGAATCGAAAAATCTGCTCCACACACTGATTTCTGGGCTGGTCTTCTCTCCCCCCCCCGCCCCCAGCTAACCAGGTTAGCGGACTTAGCTAACCTGGTTGCTATCTATGGTTGCAGGGGTGGCTAAGTAGGTTACGAACTCGGTTAGCTAACCTCCGAAAGTGGGTTCTAAGTTCAGGAGCGAAGTGCCATAACTACTTACTCTGGATACCCTAAGTGCACATACGAAGCCGCCCAAGTGATTGCTATGTGTGTGAGGTGCATAGAAGTGGGCCGTGATGGTTCTATGTACTTAGCTTCATCTTACGGTGGTTATAACATCCTTACCAAAGTTATAAGTAAACTACAGCCAGGTTATAACTCCTATAGATGTGTTTCTATCTAGGCGAAATGCTTAGGAAGGGCAGCCACCATCGCAGTAACTGACTGAGCTGACTGACCGGCTGACTCGTCACAAGCGTTAGGCGACAGCTTTATCTTCGGCCGGTCGAAAGCGCAACGCGTGGTACAACCAACGGAGGACCAATAATAGGCTCGGAGGCCGGGGACACGGTCTCTAGCGCAGGCCGTGGGAGCCAGACGTATCCCCGGCGGCCGAGGTCGCACCCTATGGCGCAACCAATCGTAGCCAGTTATATCCTGGGCGGCCGAGGGCGCAACCTATTGCAAAGCTGCCCCAGGAGCCAATTCTACCCTCGGCAGCCGTAGGCGCAACCGTTTTCGAAACCAATCGGAGCCAGGTATATTTTCGGCGGCCGAAGGCGCAGCAACCTATGGAGCCTCATTGTTTGGCCGCGCAGGCGTTTCTAGTTCGCGGGGGCCGGCGGGGGTTCGCCGCGGGCGTGTTCGACACATGGAACCCGAAAAGAATGCTTTAAGCACTTGGACAAGCTTACACGCATTGAGCTGGAAAATCTGGCCAAACTTCGCGCGATCTGGCAATGCGCCTGTCACGACCTTGCCGGACGCAAAAGTGGCCCGCCACGAACAGGGCAGAAACTCCCTTGTCAGGGCCGTCAATCCTACCGGCCCTCTGGGCGTAGATGCGTTAGGGCGCTTCCTCTTCCAACACGTTTCTTATCCTTCGGGGAGGGGCTTACCCTCCCCCTACTCCCCCCTCCCTCCTCCCCTGGCCCCCGGGACATGGACAGGGGCGCCCCGACGCGTTGGAGCGTCGAAGATGGCCCAAGACGTCTCCAAGAAAGCCTCGGAGAGCCCCAGCTGGGCGGGGCCCACAGTTGGCTGGTAATGGCGCAGGATCGCTGAAGACGGCCCCGAATATGCTCCAAGGAGTTCCCAAGAACGCTCCAACCAAACTGGCGCCGAGAGGCCTCCGAGAGCCCAAACCCTTTCAGCATGTTGCCTTCTCGCCTTTTCGTTCCATATGGCCATCCCAAACCCCAGGATGGCTCCAAGATTGCCCAACTGGGCCCAAGAGAGCCCCAAGGGCGTCCCTGAAGCCTCCCACAGTGCCCCAAGCGAGTCCCAAGAGGCGCCTGGACAGCCCAAAGACGTGCCCAAGAGGCCTCGAAGAGGCTCCTAAGAGACCCCCATGAAGCTTCAAGGGCATCCTTGGCGCACCCGAGATGCCCCCGAGACGCTCCAAGAGGCCTCCTCAACACTCCCCAGAGACATCCGGAGAAACTCTTATGCTCGTCCTGCTTCTTCCTCCTTCCTGCTCCTTTCTCTCCCTCCTCCACCTCTTCTTCCTCGTCCTACTGCTCCTGTTCTTCTTTTCACTTCCACGAGACACCAGAGGAGACCCCAAGAGGTAATCAACCGGCGTGTGGTTCTTGAATCGCCCCCTTTCTCACCCTCCTCCCTCTCCTCCCCCTCCTCCTTTTCATCCTCCCCACCTCATCCTCCCCCTCCGCCTCCTCCTCATCCTTATCGTCCCCCTCGTCCTCCTCCTCCTCCTCCTCCTCCTCCTCCTCCTTTTCCTCCTCCTCGTCCTCCTCCTCTTCCTCCTCCTCCTCCTCCTCTTCCTCGTCTTCCTCCTCCTCCTCCTCCTCCTCCTCCTCCTCCTCCTCCTCCTCTCTCCCTCCTCCTCCTCCTTCTCTTCCTCCTTATTACGAACTCTCCCATTATCCTTCCTCCCCCCCGCCCTCCCCGCACCTTTTTCCCCTCCTTGTGCTCCTCCCGCTCCCTCCTCCCCGACAGCGACGACGGAGATCACGACGACGAAGACGACGACGACGACGACGACGACGACGAAGGCGACAGCGGCAGCGGCGGGCGGGAAAAGGGAGGGAGATGAGAAGGGGAGGAGGGACACGCCGAGGTTCAGGCCTCGAGCCTCGAAAATGGCATCCGGGGAGCTTCCTCGTCGCCACGGCTGGGCAGCAGAAGAACTGGCAGCAGCACCCGCAGCAACACCAGCAGCAGGACCAACAGCACGAGAACCAACAACACCAGCCGCAGGAGGAGGAGGAGGAGGAGGAGGAGGAGGAGGAAGAGGAGGAGGAACAGGAGGAGGCTGATGGCCAGGTGGGTGGTTAGGGGGAGAGGAAGAGGGGCCGGATAGAGGAGGAGAGGAGGAGGAGGACGAGGCTGGGGAGGAGGGAAGGGACGAGAGGGGATGGAGAGGAGGAGGGGAGGAGGAGGAGGGGGAGAAGAGGAGGAGGAGGTTTTTCGGGGGGCAGGAAGAGGGGGGAGGAGGACCGAGGCCGAGGGGGGACGAGGAGATGAAGGCCAGGGGGGGGAGCGATGGGAATGCACCTGAAGCAAGCGGGGCGGGGGCGCGACGCGGCCCCGCCCCGCTTGCTTCAGATGCATTCCCATCGCTTCAGATGCATTCAGCGGAGCGATGGCCGAAAGAGCGCCCCTAAAGCTCCCAAGAGCGCTCCAAGAGGACCCCAAGAGGCGCCCAGACGGCCCCAAGAAGCCTCCAAGAGGCTCCCAAGAGACCTCCAAGAGGCCCCCAAGAGGCGTCAGGCAGACGCTCCAGACATCCGCGGAGGCTATTATGTCTGTCCGTTTTCCTCCTCCTTCTCCTCCTCCTCCTCCTCCTCCTCCTCCTCCTTCACCCACATCTTTGTCTGGATCTTTTTGTGCCCGGCCGAGTGTCTGGGTGCCCGGGTGCCAGGGTGTGTGTCTGGGTGTTTGGGTGTTTGGGTGTTTGGGTGCCCGGACGCCCGGGTGGGTGTCGGGGCGTCCGGGTGCCCGGGTGCCCGGGTGCTGCCTGGAGGTCCGGGCGTTCGGGTGTCCGGGTGCCCGGGTGTCCGGGTGCCCAGGTGCCCGGGTGCCCGGGTGCCCGGGTGCGTGGGTGTCCGGGCGTCCGGGCGTCCGGGCGTCCGGGCGTCCGGGCGTCCGGGCGTCCGGGCGTCCGGGTGCCCGGGCGTCCGGGCGTCTGGGTGTCTGGGTGTCCGGGTGTCCGGGTGTCCGGGTGTCCGGGTGTCCGGATGTCCGGGCGTCCGGGCGTCCGGGCGTCCGGGCGTCCGGGTGTCCGGGTGTCCGGGTGTCCGGGTGTCCGGGCGTCCGGGCGTCCGGGCGTCCGGATGTCCGGGTGTCCGGGTGTCCGGGTGTCCGGGTGCCCGGGGTGCGGTTTGTCTGGTATTGTGTGTGGGTGTTTGACCCA